GGGCTTCGTGTCACACTGAGCAGGGGGCAGGGGTGCTCAGCTGGACCCCTCTGCCATAGACCTGGAGGCGTGAGGGTGCCCATCCCCATGTGAGGGTGCCCATCCCCATGTGAGGGTGCCCATCCTCATATGAGGGTCCTCCATCCCCATGTGGACATGCAGGGTGCCCATCCCCATGTGAGGGTGCCCGTCCCCATGTGAGGGTGCCCATCCCCATGTGAGGGTGCCCATCCCCATGTGAGGGTGCCCATCCTCATATGAGGGTCCTCCATCCCCATGTGGACATGCAGGGTGCCCATCCCCATGTGAGGGTGCCCGTCCCCATGTGAGGGTGCCCATCCCCATGTGAGGGTGCCCGTCCCCATGTGAGGGTGCCCATCCCCATGTGAGGGTGCCCATCCCCATATGAGGGTGCCCATCCCCATGTGAGGGTGCCCATCCCCATGTGAGGGTGCCCGTCCCCATGTGAGGGTGCCTATCCCCATGTGAGGATCCCCCATCCCCATGTGAAGGTGCCCATCCCCATGTGAGGGTGCCCATCCCCATATGAGGATCCCCCATCCCCATGAGGTGCCCATCCCCATTGAGGGTGCCCATCCCCATGTGAGGGTGCCCATCCCCATGTGAGGGTGCCCATCCCCATATGAGGGTGCCCATCCCCATGTGAGGGTCCCCCATCCCCATGTGAGGGTGCCCATCCCCATGTGAGGGTGCCCATCCCCATGTGAGGGTGCCCATCCCCATATGAGGGTCCCCCATCCCCATGTGAGGGTGCCCGTCCCCATGTGAGGGTGCCCATCCCCATATGAGTGTCCCCCATCCCCATATGAGAGTGCCCATCCCCATATGAGGGTGCCCATCCCCATGTGAGGGTGCCCATCCCCATATGAGGGTCCCCCATCCCCATATGAGAGTGCCCATCCCCATGTGAGGGTGCCCATCCCCATATGAGGGTCCCCCATCCCCATGTGAGGGTGCCCGTCCCCATGTGAGGGTGCCCATCCCCATATGAGGGTCCCCCAACCCCATATGAGGGTGCCCATCCCCATATGAGGGTCCCCCATCCCCGTATGAGGGTCCCCCATCCCCATGTGAAGGTGCCCATCCCCATGTGAGGGTGCTCATCCCCATATGAGGATCCCCCAACCCCATATGAGGGTCCCCCAACCCCATGTGAGGGTGCCCATCCCCATATGAGGGTCCCCCATCCCCATGTGGACATGCAGGGTGCCCAAGCCCTCACTGGGCCCCCCCGGCTGCCAGCTCTGTGGCGGTGGGTAGAAGGTGATGTGTGGCCATGCTCTGTCCTGCTCCGCCATGGTCCCGAGTGCTCCCTGCTGTGCTGGTTGCCATGGGAGCCCCCCAACTCTCCCAGCCCCCCCGGGGCTCCCAGGCTGCAGGGCCTGGCCCAAGCCCTCTTGTCCCATCACCCAGCCCAGAGCCAGCTCCAGCAGCAGCTCTGCACCCACTGAGCACCAGGATCTGCAGCAATGGGACAGGGTGATGGGGTTGAACTGAAACAGGGGAGGTTCAGGTTGGAGATAAGGCAGAAGCTCTTCCCTGTGAGGGTGCTGAGGCGCTGGCACAGGGTGCCCAGAGAAGCTGTGGCTGCCCCATCCCTGGCAGTGCTCAAGGCCAGGTTGGACACAGGGGCTTGGAGCAAGCTGCTCCAGTGGAAGGGGTCCCTGCCCGTGGCAGGGGTTGGAGCTGGAGGAGCTTTAAGCTCCCTTCCCACTAAACCATTCCATGACTGCATGGTTCCATGACAGCGGATGCTGGAGTCTCTCCCTGCCCTCTCTGGAATGCAGCAGATGACTGGACTTGGAGTTGCTGTCTCGAAACCCGGAGTCACATCCCAGTTAGGAGAAACAAACCCTGGTAACGCTCCAAACATCCTGACTCACAGCTCGCTCCTGGCCTGTGCGAGCACACTTTGTGCTGGAATAGAACAGCCCTGTCCCAGCACGGGGCTGCTTCAGAGCCCCCTCAGTGCCCCGACACAAAGAACACGTGAAACCAACCTTACAGCTTAAACTGTGCTCATTCTATCCCCAGTCACTGCCCCGGGGGTGCCGCAGATCCCTTGGGTTCAGAGCACAGATTCCCTGCTCCAGCCCCCTTGGGTAAGGAGTTAATGCTCCAGCTCGGATCTGGAAAACTGCCGTTGGCTTTTCCTTGGTGCCTTGCCAAGGGGCCACAACAGCTCCTTTGTACTGTGAGCAGCAGCACTGCTCTTACTTCATAAACAGGGAGCGTCATCCCTGATGGAGACATCACAGCATCCCAGACTGGTATGGGTTGGAAAGGACCTTAAAGCTCCTCCAGCTCCAACCCCTGCCACGGGCAGGGACCCCTTCCACTGGAGCAGCTTGCTCCAAGCCCCTGTGTCCAACCTGGCCTTGAACACTGCCAGGGATGGGGCAGCCACAGCTTCTCTGGGCACCCTGTGCCAGCGCCTCAGCAGCCTCCTCCCTGCCCCACACGGGGCCTCGGCCGGGAATGAGCCAGGAGCCGGGGAGGAGCACGACAAAAATAGAGCTTTATTTTGGGACAAGTGCAACCAGAGCCGGGCCCTTCGCCCACAGCGGTGCAGGTGCCGGTGAACCTGCGCTGGGACGTCCCTTGGCTGACCTGGAGCGATGCGAGCGGGGCCGAGCCGTCCCCGTGCCCTTTGCCTCGGCGGGCCGGGAACGGGGGGGATGAGGACAAGGGGGGACACGGACCTGGCCCTGGTGCCTTGTTCAGCCATGAGAGCCCCGGGTGTACCCCAGCCAGCAGAGCAGTCACACACACGTGTGCGCACACGTGCACACAGACATACATGTGCGCACAGACATACATGTGTGCACACAGACATACATGTGTGCACACAGACATACATGTGCACACAGACATACATGTGTGCACACAGACATACATGTGTGCACACAGACATACATGTGCGCACAGACATACATGTGTGCACATAGACATACATGTGCACACAGACATACATGTGTGCACACAGACATACATGTGCGCACAGACATACATGTGCGCACAGACATACATGTGTGCACAGACATACATGTGCGCACAGACATACATGTGTGCACACATACATATGCACACAGAAAAACATGTGTGCACACAGACATACATGTGTGCACACAGACATACATGTGTGCACACAGACATACATGTGTGCGCACAGACATACATGTGTGCACACAGACATACATGTGTGCACACAGACATACATGTGTGCGCACAGACATACATGTGCGCACAGCCATACATGTGCAAAGACATGTGTACACACAGACACACGTGCACAGACATACATGTGCACACAGACATACATGTGCACACATACACATGCACACACAGACATACACATGTGCACACAGACACACGTGTGGGCACACACTGCACTGCGATAGCATCCAGATGCATGGAGCCCTGTATCCACAGCCATGTCCCCAAGTGTGCCCAGCCTGGGGACACACATGTAGAGCTGTGGCACACACATGTGCCACCAGTACCCATCACACAGAGGCCTGTGCTGAACCGGGTACATGTGGAGGTGCATCTGCACACGCAGTACATGTGCACACCAACACACACGTGTTCCGTGCACAGACATGTGCGCAGGGACACGCCTGTGCACAACACCCACGTGGCAGGCTCTCACACACACAACACGCGTGCACACAGACATTCCTATGTACAGAGCACACATGACACCCGCTGGAACACATGGAGCTGCACAGCAGCACGTGTGCCCCAGGCACGCACAGCAGCACACAGAGCCCGTGCACGCAGAGCTCTGCATGGGCCCCCTCGCACACCAGAGCTGTGCGCATCAACACACGTGTGTGCAGGGCTGAGCACACCAAGACACGTGCACGCTGGGCTATGCACACCAGCACACACGTGTGCAGTGCCATGCACACCAGTGCATGTGAACGGTGCTGAGCACCTCACCAAACCCATGTACACAGCTCCGTGCACACGCAGAGCCATGCGAACCAGCAGACACGCTGCACACAGAGCTGTGCCCTGCAGCACACACGTGCAGTGCCGCGCACAGCAGCACACACGTGTACGCACAGCGCTGTGATGTGCACAGAGCCACACACACCATCAGACGTGCTCACACAGACCTGTGCACACCAGCACTGCTCTGTGCACAGCACCGTGCACCTCGGCACACCCATGTGCACACATCGCTGTGCACACAACACTGTGCACACCAGCACACACATGCACACACTGCTGTGCACATCAGATGTGTTCACATATCACACCAGCACACCCATGTGCACACACATCATGGTGAGCTCAGCACACCCATGTGCACACATCACTGTGCACACAACACTGTGCATGCCAGCACACCCATGTGCACACATCACTGTGCACACCAGCACACACATGCACACACTACAGTGCACATCAGACGTGTTCACACATCACACCAGCACGCCTGTGTGCACACACACCATGGTGAGTTCAGCACACCCATGTGCACACACCACTGTGCACACCAGCACACACGTGTGCACACATCACTGTGAGCTCAGCACACCTATGTGCACACATCACTGTGCACGCCAGCACACACGTGTGCACACATCACTGTGCACACATCACAGTGCACACTAGCACACACATGCACACACTGCCGTGCACATCAGACGTGTTCACACATCACACCAGTACACCTGTGTGCACACACACCATGGTGAACTCAGCACACCCATGTGCACACACCACTGTGCACACCAGCACACACACGTGCATAAACATCATGGTGAGCTCAGCACACCCATGTGCACACATCACTGAGCACACCAGCACACACATGTGCATAAACATCATGGTGAGCTCAGCACACCCATGTGCACACATCACTGTGCACGCACCACCGTGCACATCATACGTGTTCCCACATCACACCCGTGTGCTCTGCACCATCACCACCACAGCCCCCGACCCCAGCTCCACGCTGTCCCTCCTCACGGCTGCGGTACCCGTGCCCAGCGCCCCGCGAGGAGCCGGGGCTGGTGGAGCAGGAGCAGCCCGGCCAGCGCCAGCGCGGTGCCCGCGTAGCTGAGCCCGCTCAGGCGGGTGCCGAACACGAGGCGCGACAGCAGCAGGTTCCCCACCACGGTGACGCTGCCCAGCAGGTGCACGGTGAGCGCGGAGGTGAGGGCCAGCACGCGCGACGTGGCCAGGTTGTAGAGCACGGAGCCCAGGCAGCTCAGCAGCACCCAGCCCCACACGCTGCTGTCGTAGCGCAGGACCCCGTCCCAGGAGGGCCCCACTTCCAGCACCACCGCAGCCCCCAGGAGCAGGCAGAAGCTGGGCAGGGACGTCAGGCAGAGCAGGGAGAGCGCGTCCAGCCGGTCCTCCTGCAGCAGGACACCTGTGGGGACAGGGGACAGTCAGTGGGGACGGCCCCGGGAACACCTGCACCCACAGGGGCACCCACCAGTGTGAGCCCTTGTGCCCAGGGACCAAACCACAGAACCAGCCAGGCTGGAAAAGCCCTTTAAGCTCATCCACTCCAACCCTTCCCAGCCCTGCCAAGGCCACCACTGCCCCATGGCACTGAGGCCTCGTCTCCACGGGGTGTGAACACTTGCAGGGACGGTGCCTGCAGCCCTGCCCTGGGCAGCCTGTTCCAATGCCTGAGCACCCTCTGGGGCAGGAATTGTTCCTCAGCTCCATCTAAACCTGCCCTGGTGCAGCTTGAGGCCGGTTCCTCTTGTCCCATCCCTTGTTCCTTGGGAGCAGAGCCCAGCCCCTCCTGGCTCCATCCTCCTGTCAGGCAGTTGGAGGCAGCCATCAGGTCCCCCCTGAGCCTTCTCTTCTCCATCTGAACCCCCCAGGTCCCTCAGCCCTTCCCCATCACACTTGGGCTCCAGGCCCTGCACCAGCCCCAGTGCCCTTCTCTGGCCCCGCTCCACCCCTCAATGTCTCTCCTGTGAGAGGCTCAGAGCTGAACACAGTCACTAGGAAGGGGGAAATGGGGAACTGGGGGTGCCCTGGGTCAGGGGATGCCCCAGGGGCAGGTTGGATGGAGCCGTTTCCCGGTCCTGTTCTGCAGTTTCCATGCCCATCTCCTCATCCCGCACCACTCCCAGGCACTGTCCCCGCTGTGTCCCCAGGGCCCTCCTCTCTGGGTCACCCAAGGACAGCAGGCATAGCCGGGGGGGCTGGACAGAGGGGCATGTGCTGTGTACCCAGTGCCACTCACCATGTCCCATGGGTGACAAGGGGCACAGGGTGGGTGGTGCAGGAGCCCATGGATGGGACTGGGCAGTTTGGGTGTCCCTGCACTATGACACTGCCACCCCCCAGGGCCCCAGGACATGGGGCAGCGTCACTGGGAGCCAGCCACAGGGACACCAGCGCATTTGTCACCAAGAAAGCAGGGTCACACCGGGTCATAGCACCATGCTGGGAGTGGTCGGTGGGTGTGGGTGACACTGGGGTGACACCAGGGACAGGGCGGCACTAGAGTGACACAGGGTGATCACCGCAGTGATGCCAGGGATAAGGCAGGCAAGGGTGGCACTGGGGTGGCACCAGGAACAGGGCAGGCAGCAAGTGATACCAGGGCTAGGAAGGCAATTGGTGGCCCTGGAATTGGGGTGGGACTAGGGCTAAAGTGGCATCGGGAGCCAAAGTGCCCGAGGGTTGGGGTGGCACTGGTGCCAGGGAGCAGCACCAGCACTCCTGTGCCCTGGGGGCTGTGATGGGGAGGGCATGCGGGCAGGGGACAGGCAGGACATGGGGCGGGCAGGACATGGGGCAGAGGGCGGGGGACGGCACTTACTCTGCTGGATGGACTTGAGGGCGCGGAGCACGGCAGCAGCCAGCAGGAAGCCGCAGCCGGGCTGGTGGCCGCTGGCGATGGCGCAGGCGGCCCCGGCGCACACGGGCCCCATAGCCAAGTACTGCATCGGGTGGTGCCGCCGGGGCCCCAGCACCCGCGACAGCAGCAGCGTCACCAGCGGCGTGGTGACAGCCACGGCCTGCGCCACGTCCAGCTGCACGGAGCTCAAGCCCACGTTGCCCAGGGCCACGCTGGTGCAGAAGGTGATGCTGAGCAGGTAGATCCTGGCGCGGTGCCGCGGGCTCGGTGGGGCCAGCCCCCGCGCCCAGCCCAGCGCCTGCCCCACGGCCGCCCCCGACAGCATGTGCAGCGCCGACAGCAGCAGCGGGTACCGGAACCCGTGCGCCGAGAAGATCCATTTGTTGATGCCGGCCATGGTGGTGCCGGTGCCCAGCCACGCCAGCACCGTCAGGGTCAGCGGCATCGACGGCCACGGTGGGGCCCGACCGCCCTGCGCCTGCCCCGGGTCCGGCTTCCAGGGCCGGCGGGTGCCCTCGGCGGTGGCCGTCATCGTCGCTGCTTCATCGCCGCGCCGGGACCGCGGGCACATGGGCACCGGCCCCGCTCCCCGCCGCTGCCACCCTGCGCTCTGCCCCGTCCTCCCGCGCCGAGCTCGGCCCCGGTGCTGCTGGTGTCAGAGCCTCCCGTTCCCGTTGCCGTTCCCGTTCCCGGCGGTGCCCGGTGTCAGGGCTCAGCCTTGGGGCGCCGGTGCCATGTGCGAGGGCGGCGATGCCAGCGGCGAGCGGAAAGTTTGGTGATGGCGGGAGGGAGGGGAGGGAGGGAGGCTCCGCCCCGGCTCCGCGTCACCACCGCCCGGTGTGGGGGGGGGGCACCGGCCCCGCGTCAGAGCCCCCGGGTGCGGCTGCCCCCGACCCGCAGCGCCCGACACCGCCCGCAGGGGTTGGGATCGGGTTAAACCCCTGGAGCAGGGCTGGGATGCACCCAGGAGCACCACGGGGCCCGAACGCTTGGGGTTGGAGGGCGCCCAATGCGTCCCGCCCAGAGGATGGCCCTGGCTGTGACTCACAGGGGTGTGCTCCGGCTGCACAGACCTGGCCGCTTTGGGCACCCCAAATGCTGCCTCCAGCAGCTGTGCCCCATCCACGCTCGGAGCTGCTGCTCTGCGTGCTTCCATCCCACCTTGCACACAGGACACAGGGCATCGTGCGTCCCCCCACCTCTCCCTTCTCCCCCCAGGGCAGATCTGGGGTGCTGGCACCCAGGCGCAGGAAAGCAGGAGGCAGGAGACAGCAGGGTCTGTGCCTGGGCAGGCGGTTCATTGCCATCACCCCCATCCTCTACCACTCAGTGAGGCGCAGGATGAGGGTCTCCCCATCGCTGGGTCTGTAGTCACCAATACCTGTGGAGAGAGGGACAGCGCCAGGTGGGAAAGAGACCGTGGGGACAGCCAGGAACCCCCTGCCTCCCGCATGTCCCCTGTCACTCACCCATCTGCAGGCTGGTGCTGGGCGCAGTGAGGAGCTGCCAGTACGTGCGCTTCTGCTGCTGCGCCTCCAGCCCCAGCACCCCGCTCAGGTAGGGGCCCTGGGGGGTGTCCCGGGTGTCAAACCTGGTGGGGGGGAGATGAGGGTGAGGGTCCAGCCCCAGCACCGCCGGGTGGATGAGCCTGGATGAGGGCATGGCCACGCCGGGCGTGAGGGTCACATACGTGAAGTCCGGGGGTCCCTGCTCTGTGGCCGCCCTGAGCACATCCAGGAGGGTGGCACCAGCGGGTACAAGCACTGAGTGGTCGTAGAGCCAGCGCTGGGGACACGGTGGCAGAGGACACTCCACCACCAGCCGCACCGTCTTGTTCCCCAGCAGCTCCGACAGCGGCTCGGGGCTGGCGGGCGTCAGAGTGTCTGCGAGAAGCCACCACGGTGCTGATGGGCACGAGGCCACCACTGCGGTGCCAAGGGTGCCAGTGCCCCCCCCCCCAGGTGTCCCCAGCTCCTACCCAGCTCCTCCTCGCAGCGCATGGAGGCGATGTCCAGGTAGGAGCGGCCGTGCAGCACTGGCAGTGCCTGGGCCAGCGTGGCGGCGGTGCTGAAGGCATCCACGTGCTGCAGCAGCGCAGCCATGGCCCGGCCGTACGGAGCCTGCGCCTCGCAGGAGTTGGTGGCGATGAAGAGCTGGGATCAGAGGGAGGAAGGGGATGGGGCAGTGCCCGGAGGAGGGAGGTGGCTCAGAGCACTGGGCTGTGGGCACCACAATGAGCTGAGCACTGACCACCCAGCCCCTGCCTCTGCCCCGGTACCCACATCTGCACCCATACCCCTGCTTATAGAGCCATAGGATCACAGAGTGAAAGGGAAAGGCTGGAAAGGATCCTAAAGCCTGCCATGGTCATGGGGAGCTTCTCATCACCCAACACCCCAAGTCCTTCTCCTCAGGGCTGCTCCATCCCGTTTCCACCCTGCCTGTGTTTGTGCTGGGGATTGCCCTGACTTGGCCATGACATTGCACTTGGCCTTCTTGAACCTCATGATGTTCACACTGTGTCTATGCTCACACCCTCATCTGCACCCATGTCCCAAACCCATATCCCATGTTGGTGTCCCCCCACACTGGACACCCACCTGCATGGCCCAGGGGGTGCTGTAGACGTTGCCAAAGAAGCCATCCTCGCCCTGTGCCTCCACCATCCTCTTCTTTGCCCCGTGCACCGCTGCCCGCAGCTCCGCCGCCAGCGTGGACCCCACCAGCCGCTCCTGCTCCAGGCAGGTGAAGGCCATCGCTACCACCGCCTCTGTGTCTGTGGGGATGGGGTGTCACCACGCAGCCGCACACCCACCCTGGGTGCCACCACCCCACCAATCCCCATTTACCTATGGCACTGCCGGCACTGTACCCGAACTTGGCATGATGCTCGGCGGCCAGGAGCCGGCGGACCACCTCCTCCCGCACCCGCTTGTGGTGCACGCACAGCGCCAGCACGCCCAGGCTGTACTGGTAGTAACTGGTGATGGGGTGGCCGTGCCGCCGGGAGCCTGGGGACAAGGGCTTGTGTCACTGCAGCCGGATGTGCCAGCGCCCAGGTGGGTGCTCGCTGTGATCACGCCATGGGGCTGCTCTCACCTGCCCAGTCCTCCTCCAGGTAGTACTTGAGCCACGTCACCAGTGAGCGCAGCGCCTTGTGCTCCAGCGGGGAACACGTGGCCCTCAGCCCCAGCAGGTACAGCGCCAGCCGCCCCGTCTCCAGCCACTCCACATCAGTGCTCCTGCAAACACCCTGTCACCCCCCGCAGCACACCCGTACCCATCACCCCTGCAGCACACCAGTACCCATCACCCCTGCAGCACACCAGTACCCATCACCCCTGCAGCACACCGGTACTCATCACCCCTGCAGCACACCCGTACCCATCACCCCTGCAGCACACCAGTACCCATCACCCCTGCAGCACACCGGTACCCATCACCCCCCCTGCAGCACACCGGTACCCATCACCCCTGCAGCACACCCATACCCATCACCCCTGCAGCACACCCGTACCCATCACCCCCCCTGCACACCACCCCCCCTGCAGCACACCTGTACCCATCACCCCTGCAGCACACCCGTACCCATCACCCCTGCAGCACACCGGTACCCATCACCCCCCCCCCTCAGCGGTGCCAGCAGAGGGGACTGTCCCTGTGTGGGTCACACACGTACGTGCTGTGCTCACTGTCTGCAGCATGGTGCTGGGGATCTCCAGCTGCCTGCAGGCTCCTGCGGGGACTCGGTGTCAGCGGAAGGCCAGGGGACACCCCGCAGTGACACAGGGGACACACAGTGTCCCCCATGGGACCTACCGGCCATAGCGGTGCTGGAAGGCGTCCTGCAGCCGCTCCAGGTACTGCTGCTCCCGGCGCAGGTCGTGCTCCCCGGCCAGGCGAAGCGCCAGGTACACACTGGGGTCAGGGTCCCGCTCAGGATCCGCAGCCAGCGCCAGCAGCCGGGAGCTCAGAGCCCGCAGCACGGCCTCTTGCCCTGGGGCTTCTACCGGCCCCGGCAGGGAGCAGAGGGTGAGTGGGGCAGGAGAGCCTTGGGGCGCCTGCAGCACCCAGCAGCGGTGGTGTGGGGCTGTGGTGGTGATGGAGACCCAGCACCCAAACACTGCCGTGTGGCCCTGCCCTCTGCACCCCCCTCAGGTCCCCAAAGCTCAAGTCTCTGCCCCAAAATGGGGAATAAACAACATAAATGTCACGAAGCAGGAGTGTGGAGAGCCCAGTGCAACCCATGGGGCTGGTCGGGGGCTGCCAGGGCTGCCCTGTCCCCAGGGCAGGTGCTGGGAAGAAGGGGGCACAGGAATGAGGCTTAACCCCAGTGGGCACTTCACAGAGCTCAGCCCTGCGCAAGCCATCACCAGAGCGGTTCCACCCGGCCAGCATCTGCCCCAGAGCCAGGGCACGGGGCTGGAGCATGGGATGGGGCTGGTGTCACTGCTCAGCCAGGGGGAGCCCCGGGGCTGCTGCGGGGTGTGCCCGGGGCCATACTCACCGCAGAGCCGGGCGGGCAGGACCGCAGGCTGCAGCAGGAGCAGCAGGAGCAGGAGCAGCCACACGCTGCAGCGGGACGGGGGGTGCTGGGCCATGGATGGCTCTGCACAGCGCAGCGCGATGGGGTGAGCTGGGACGGAGCCGGGCAGGGAGCTGTCCCAAGAGGCTGTTTCCGCACACTGGAGCCGAGTCAGCAGGAACAGGGAAGAACTTTGGCTGGAGGCGAAGAGAAGGGAAGTGAAGCCCGACCCCCGCGGGGCACAGATAAGGAATTCCCGGCCCCCCTTCCCTCCCCGCTCCGTGACCCGGCACAGCCCGGGTCAGCACAGGGTGTCCCTGCCCTGTGCCGGGGCAGCGAGACCTGAACCCCTGCCTGGGTCAGAGCCACCGGCCAAAGTCAGCAACGAGGGATGGGGCTGGGAACCCCGTGCTCCCGCACCCCCCGTCCCCCCCCCGTCCCCTTCGGGAGCTGGAACTCGCTGTCCATATGGAACTGCACACAAGGATTAACCAGCCCAGCACGGCAGCGGGTGCGGGGGGGCTGAGCCCCACCAGGTGAACCCTGCCGTGGGGTCCCAGGGTGCTGCTGGGGACACCCAGGCAAGGGGCAGAACCCCTGCACTCGGTGGGGGCTGAGGACGTGGCTCCTGGCCTCTACAAGACACAGTGGGGACCCATGGGTGTCCCACCAGTGACAGGAGGTGGGGAGGCAGTGGGAAGGGATGAGGATGCACAGCACCAACAGCACCCAGAGGCACCAGGAGCGGGTGAAGCACCCAGAGCGGCTGCAACCTGCAGTGGGGACAAGAGCAGCTCCAGGGACCCACCAGGGTCAGGTCCAAGCCCTCATTACCCACAGCCCCACACAGCACAGCACAAACAGCACAGAATCAGCCTGGGTTGGGCTGAAGGGACCTCAAATCTCTTCCAGCTCCATGCCCAGCCCCGGGCAGGGACACCTGACACTGGGCAAACATCAAACTGCGTCAACAGCCGTCACCCTGAGAGGGTCCCCGTGGATGTTCAGGGGATGCTCAGGTGCCACCAGAACGGCAGCACTGACCCAGAACACCCCCAGGAGAGCAGAGCCAGCAGAGCCTCAACTCCTCCCTTCCATCAACCCCTTCCACCGTGGAATTGTTCCTTTGCCCCATTTATGGTTTGTTTGGTGGTTTTGGTTTAAGGCAAACAGCTCATTCCAGTGCAAACAGTGGGGCTGAAGAGCCCCCTCTGTGCTGGGAGCTATTGGTTATAACCCCTCTGTGTTGGGAGCTATTGGTCATAACCCCTCTGTGCTGGGAGCTATTGGTTACAACCCCTCTGTGCTGGGAGCTATTGGTTATAACCCCTCTGTGCTGGGAGCTATTGGTTCTAACCCCTCTTTGCTGGGAGCTATTGGTTATAACCCCCATGTGTTAGCAGCTATTGGTTATAACCCCTCTGTGCTCATGGCTGTTGGTTATAACCCCTCTGTGCTGGGAGCTATTGGTTATAACCCCTCTGTGTTAGGAGCTATTGGTTATAACCCCTCTGTGTTAGGAGCTATTGGTTATAACCCCTCTGTGTTAGGAGCTATTGGTTATAACCCCTTTGACCGTCCCGTGTCACCCAGCGCTTCCCCCGGGAGCGGCACAGACCACCCCAAACCTCCTCAGCTCCTGATCCCCGGGCACACCGAGGCCCGGAGCCCCTGCGGGCACTCACCCCCGGCGCGGGGACCTGCGCCCCCCGCCACCACGAGTCGGTCCCCCCGGGCCCGGCCTCTCCCAAGCCACGGGGACACCAGAGCCGGAGCCGCCGCTGCGGGACCGCGGACCGGGGCCTACATTGGGGACCAGCCCCCGCCCCGGCCCGCCCCTGCGGCCGCCCCGGCCCCGCCTCGCTCACCCCAGCGTGCCCCGCGCAGCAGGACCCCTCCGACGGGGGCGCGCGGGCTGCCCGCGGCGCGCCTGTCCTGCCCGGCGCTGCCCGCTCCCCTCTGCGCGGCTCCGGCGGGTGAGGGCCCCGCGCCCCTGTTGCAGGCAGCGCGCGGGCAGCCCGGGGTCCTGCGGCGCGCCGGGAACACGCGGCAGCGGCGGCGCGGCCATGGGAGGGGTGGAGAAGAAGAAGGTACCGGTTACCCCCCCCTTTCCCCGCACCGGAGCTCCCCTGCTCCGGCACCCCAGTACCCGGCTGTGTCCGTACCGTGTCCATCCCCCCCCAGTACCCGGCTGTGTCCGTACCGTGTCCATCCCCCCCCAGTACCCGGCTGTGTCCGTACCGTGTCCATCCCCCCCCAGTACCCGGCCGGGTCCGTACGCTGTCCATCCGCCCCCCGGTACCCTGCTGTGTCTTTACCGTGTCCGTACCGTGCCCATCCCTCCCCGGTACCTTGCTGTATCTATACCGTGTCCGTACCGTGCCCATTCCCCCCGGTACTTTCTGTAGCCTACCGTGCCCGTCCCCCCGTACGCTCCCGTGTCCTACCGTGTCCGTTCCCCCTTCCCCATCTCCCCCTGTACCTTCCCGTGCCATCCCTCACCCCCTTTTCTCGCCGTGCCCACTGGCTCTATTCCGGCCCGCCGGTTCCCCATCCCGGTCCCGGTAGCGGCGCTCCCGGTACCAACCCACCCCCGTCTCTCCGCAGTACGAGCGCGGGGCCGCCACCAACTACATCACCCGCAACCGGGCGCGGAAGAAGCTGCAGCTGAGCCTGCCCGACTTCAGGTGCGCCCAGCATCCCCCCGGGCCCCCCGCAGGAGATGGGGCCTGTGGCGGGGTGTCCCTGTGGGCCCTCCCCATGGGGAGCCGGGTGTTGTGTCCTGCATGACCCGGGGTCTCAGGGTGCTGTGGTTTGGGGTGTCCGAGGGGTGGCAGCACCATCGGGTGCTACAGCCCTGCGTGTCTCACTCTCATCGCCGCCCCCAGGCGCCTCTGCATCCTCAAGGGGATCTACCCCCACGAGCCCAAGCACAAGAAGAAGGTGAACAAAGGCTCCACGGCTCCCAGGACCTTCTACCTCCTCAAGGACATCAAATTCCTCCTCCATGAGCCCATCGTCAACAAGTTCCGCGAGTACAAGGTGATTTCCCTTCAGGAGCCCCTAAGGGGCCCTAGGGGCTCGGCCTGTCCCGCAGATCCCCCCCAGCATTCCCGCTGTCCCGCAGGTGTTCGTGCGCAAGCTCCGGAAGGCGTACGGGAAGAGCGAGTGGAGCACCGTAGACCGGCTGAAGGACAACAAGCCCACCTACAAGCTTGACCACATTGTGAAGGAGAGGTGGGTGAGCTGCATGCCCTGCCCTGGCAGAGCTCTCCTCTGTGCAGGAGCTTGCCCCGGAGCTGTGGAGCCTTTGCTGTGTCCATCCCTCATTCGGGATCCATCTCCTGTGTGTATCGGGTGATGGAAACTGGTGTTTGTGGGCTGGAGGAGAAGGGCAGGGTATGCTGCAAGCTGGCTGTAGCAATGCATGAGTGAGCAGGGAGTGCCTGGCTATCCTAGATGGATGTGGGATCTCCAGGAAGGCGCTCAGAGCTCTCCTCTCCATGGGCACTGTTTTCCTCAGAGGGAGGGCTGATGGATGGTGACTCTGGGTGACTTGATGGGTTTGGTGGCAGTGGGAGAGGACAAAACCAAAGCAGGGAAGGAACCTCATTGCCTCCTCATTGTCCCAGTGGTGTCCGGGCTTCATTGTGCTGGTGCAGGTTGAGGAAAGGGAACTGGCACCAAGGAGCAGGGACTGCCCTGCAAGCTCAGGATGGGGGATGCTGTGACTGCAGCACTGCTGGAGTGGTGGGACCTCACCATCTGACTGCAGCCTTGCAGCTTTCATCCAGCCAAGGAGTGCCCCGTGCCATTGTGCTGCACCACAGGAATACTGGTCCTGGTGGATGCAGGCTGGGATTCAGCGTCACAGACTGGTCTGTGTAAGAAGGGGCCTTAAAGCTCCTCCAGCTCCAACCCCTGCCACGGGCAGGGACCCCTTCCACTGGAGCAGCTTGCTCCAAGCCCCTGTGTCCAACCTGGCCTTGAGCACTGCCAGGGATGGGGCAGCCACAGCTTCTCTGGGCACCCTGTGCCAGCGCCTCAGCACCCTCACAGGGAAGAGCTTCTGCCTAAGAGCTCAGCTCAGTCTCCCCTCGGGCAGGTTCAAGCCATTCCCCTTGGCCTGTCCCTACAGGCCCTTGTCCCAAGCCCCTCTCCAGCTTTCCTGCAGCCCCTTTAGGCACTGGAGCTGCTCTAAGGTCTCCCCTTCAGGAGCCTTCTCTTCTCCAGGCTGCCCCAGCCCAGCTCTCTCAGCCTGGCTCCAGAGCAGAGCTGCTCCAGCCCTCGCAGCAGCTCCGTGCCCTCCTCTGCACTCGCTCCAACAGCTCCACGTCCCTCTTGTGCTGCTGCCCCAGAGCTGGATCAGGGCTGCAGGGGGGGTCTCCCCAGCGCACAGCAGAGGGGCAGGATCCCCTCCCTGAGCTGCTGCTCACGCTCTGGGGATCAGTCCAGCACATGGTTGCCCAACACTCAGTGCCTGTGGGTGCTCTAAAACCTGTTGACACCACATGGTAACCGGTCTGTTGCTGTCCTGGCTCCCTGGAGAGCCCTGAGCCCCCGGAGCTGGTGTCTATGAGCTCCCCAGTGCCCAGCAGGGACACCCCATCGCTGTGGGCCACCAGTTTGGTGGGATGTGCAGGAGGCTGATGCTCTTTGGTTCCAGTTCCGTTGTCCTGCACGGTCTCCACAAGCCCCAGCAGCTCCTGGTGGATGTGGCTGTGTGTGATTCCTCCTCCTCCCCGGACACAGGTACCCAACCTTCGTGGATGCGCTGCGGGACCTGGACGATGCTCTCTCCATGTGCTTCCTGTTCTCCACCTTCCCACGCACGGGCAAGTGCCATGTCCAGACCATCCAGCTCTGCCGGCGCCTGGCCGTGGAGTTCCTCAACTACGTGATCGCCTCCCGCTCCCTGCGCAAGGTGGGTGCTGTGGGAGTGGGGGGGTGAGACCCCCTGGCCTGGGCGATTGTGGTGGTGGGGATGAGCTTGTGCCCCTGGATGGCACTGGGCCCACTGTGCTGGTGCTGCTGGGTGCTGCTGGGCAGCCTGGT